GTATAGTTGTGGTACCACTATATTTCATTAATGTAAAGAGCAGGTATAACAGATTTTCCACTGTCTCTCTCTCCATCCACTCCTGTATCTCATCTTACCTCTCTGACTTCATGTCCTGGAAATCAGATTAAATTTCCCCTAACCCAAACCTAATTCTCTCTACCGGACCAAATTTCTATCACTTCTGACAATATCAACATTCTCCCCATCACCCAGCCCTTTATTTAGAGATCCTCTTTTACTCCTCACTTTCTTTTGCTGAGTGTAGACTGTGTCCAAACTGTGCTGCTTTATCCACAACATTTCTAAGGTATGTCCTTATTGTTTTTTTCCACCAATGAAAATTTGCATGTAGGCCATGATAAGCTCCCGTCCTGGATAGAACAACTTCCTCATGTTTGGACTCACATCCCTCTGTCTGATCTTTTCAAGCACAGCTAGTAAGATAATTTAAAACCTCTTTTAAGACCTTTTCATACCATAATGCCATTACACTTGGGGATGTCTCCTTCAACGTCTGCTCCTTCCTCCATGACCTGCTGTTGCTCCAATGCTTGTTGCAGCAATTAATAATGGCCCAGCTGAACATGAGGACAGTTTACCCCTTATTTCTAATTTTGTACAAAATAGGTGTATATACAACATCACTTGTATTTGATTGCCTCTCCCCCAATGTTTGGATGGCACGTGTTCTGAAGCTGCAAGCACCTCTAGGCAGGGCTGTTACTTCGGAGGTGCTTGTAAAGTGTCTAACAGAATAAGACTTCTGGATGCTACTGCAATGGACATATTAAATGGTAACACTAAGCTACAGCCGATGAAATTCTTGCTATTTTTGAGCACATGCATGAACAATGGCTTAGTATGACTAAGAAAAGCAAGGAGATGCATCATTAACAATGTCATCCTGACCTTAAATCATACTGTTGTACTATAGAATTAGTACAGAATATATGGTAAATAGTGAGACCTCAGCACTGCTTTATACAAGCTCAGGAGTTAAGAATGGAGTAGCTACTTTAAGTCTATTTCTGTGTCTTTATTGATCTTAGCAGGACCTGCAGCATTATTGTAACAAGCATTTTATATTTAAGTTCTGTTTTGAGAGGCATTCTAGAACTGTATAAAAAGCCCTTTTCATTGACATTGCATCAGGCTTGTTATAATGTGAATGGCATCATTACAGTTCTCTCATTAACATCATAATGGCTCTGGAGGAATAGTGAGTGAAAATCCCAGCAAGTGGAATAGAGTAGCAATGTATAGTAGTCTTGCTGTGTGCAACTGCATACAGACAAAGTTTAACATTTTAACCTTCAGGCTGCTGTAGATGCCTCAGGGTGTCCTTCTACTGCTTGCATTTGGCTGGCAAAGTGGAAAAACTGTGGTAGCCTAAGGATTAAGGGCTGGGTTCAATAAAAAATTTTGACTGGGTTCCATGCCACCAATTCCCACACACGGCCCCCAAATGGATTTTTAAAAATTGAATCCAGTCCTAAGTATCAGCCTCTTGCTGCAATTTTGTACAGTACACTCAAACATACCCTTTCATCTTTTGTATCAAGTGGTGTTAATAGAAGTGTAACAATGCATATGCTGTTCTATAAAGTTTCATTGAAATCAGTGGGATTTTGGACAGAGTCCTTATATTGCCTTAACAGTGGTGCTCACAGTTTTGTCCCAGCGGGCCAGATGAGTGGCACAGGGCTGGTCTGTGGGCTTAATCCGGCCCCGTGCTGCCTCCCCCTGCCTGAGATCGGGTCCTGGAGGTCCCACACCACCCCTGCCCAGCTGAGGTTGTGCCCTCATTCATCTTCTGTATCTGATCTAGCATGCATGAGACTCCTCACAGAACCCTAGGGAGTCCTATGAGCTGGATGACATGGTGCCAGGGGGGAATCTAGCCCATGGCATGGGGATTGAGAACACTTGCCCTATAACAATGGGATATCAGTGGATTTGGGGCAGGGGTTGTGATTAACAAGCAAGGAGACCTGGGTACCATTTCTAGTTTTGCCACTTACTTGCTGTGTGACCACTGGCAAATCACTTAGAAATATATTCTGCCACCTTTAACCAAGGTAAATATTTTCTGAACCTGGAAGGAGATGCACTTAAATCCTGATTTGTAGAGTAAGCTACTGCTTATTGTGAATGAACAGAGTAAAATTGGCAAAAACACTGAGAAGTAGACTCTGATTTTGCATGTTTCAGTTTCTGGATACTTGACTTCACACATTTTCAGAAATGCTGAGTACCCATAACACCCTTCAAAGGATTTTGGAGATGAGAGAAATCAGCGCTTCTGAAAACCAAGCCCCAGGTGACTGGAAGCCCCTTCTCCAATGGGAGGATTGTTTTGAAAATTTGGGCTTCAGCCTTTGTGACCTTTAGTTATTTCTATGCAAAATTAGTTTGTGACACTTAGCCATCTTTCTAAAGTATTCTGAGATCTACAGATAAAAATATTGGTTGTGGACTATATGGACTATTTGTTTTTGTTCTTATTTTATTAGAAAATGGTATGGAGGATAGATGTTGCTCATGGACAGTAACTATTTATAAAAGACAACCAACTTGCCTCTATTAATTTAGCATATAGTTAATAGCATGAACAGTTAATTTACTTTAAAAGCTGTCTGCAAAACTGTAGTTTTCAAGATGAATTTGCTGCTGTTCTGCCAAACTGTGCAGAAAGCATCCCAACATGTTCTTCTTTCCATGTCTTTTCTCTCTGATGAAACATAAAAAGACTTTGAAATGAAATAGTATGGGGGGAAAAAAACTGCAAGACTGGAAACTTTTTTTTGCCATATATTATCCTAATAAAAATATCTACAAAGGATATGCTGATTTATAAGAATTCATTAAATATGAAGAAATCCTGACTTCCCCACAGCAGCAGAGGGGTCTCTTACAACCCCTATTCTCTAAGGACAAATGCTAAATCTTGACATCATGCCAGCATCAGGAGATTGATATCTAGCTGTGAATGACTCCTCAGAGGAGGTTAATGAGAAGTAGATCAGTGCAGGAGAGCTCTCCAGTGACGGTGTAATCTCTTTAGGTACAAAATATTTAATTTCTAGCTAGTTCTCAGTCCTGGATGAGACTGAGACATTCAGTTGTGACCAGACTAGTCATATAGGGGGTACTCTAATGATGAAGTATAGAAGATACAGGGGATTTGATATAATATATGGTATGATATACATGATAGTGGCAACCATTGATCCTCCTGGATCATGGTGTATGCCTTTGATGCATATGCCTGGGCAGGAATTTTTGGAGGAGTAGAGGCTGCCCAGACCTTCCATCCTCCTTTGAGGCCACTGAGACAGAATCCAAAGACCAGATGTTTGGTGCCTCCATGGCTGTAGTCGTATGTGTCTGGGAATCAAACCCTGGTCTCCTGTGTGTGGTAGACAAGGAGTCTACCACTGAGCCACAGGGGACTCCACAGTATAGGATATGATAAAGGATATGTTATATGCTATATGAGCTATGATATGCTATAATATGACATGATATAATGCATCATGCAATATATGATATGATATAGGATATGTCATGAGATATAAGACATGCTATGATATGACATGATACATCATACAATATATATGATGCATGATACAATATATATGATGTCATATGTGAAATATATGATATGACATAGGATATGCCATGCTATTGTGGGCTATGATATGATCCAATATGACATGATATAATACCTCATGCAATATATGATAGGATATAGGATGTCATGAGAGATGAGATATGATATGACATGATGCATCATACCATATATATGACATGATACAATACAATATATGATATGATGCCATATGTGATATATATGATATAGGATATGGTATGCTATATGAGATACGATATGATATAATACATCATGCAATATATGGTATGATATAGGATACATCATGATATATAAGATATATGATATAATATGACATGGTGATACATCCTACAATACATGATATGATGCATGATACAATATGATACATGATCTGATATAGGATATGTCATGCTATGTGAGATATCATGCATCATACAACATATAATTTGATACATGATGCAATACGTGATCTGTTGTGATACAATATATGATATGATATAGGGGATGTCATGATATACAAGATGAAATGAATAGGATGAATGATTCGTACTACGAGGATGGGCCATGGGCCATAACTGCCCACACCATTCTCTCCCTTCCCAGGAAAAGCAGCCCCAAGTGACTGCTCCATTAGAAAGCGGGCGGAGAGGACTGCGTGCGTGGTGTGTTTCCCTGTTCCTAAGCCCGTTCCAACGAGCCAGCAGTCGCTTAGGAGGGGCAGCGCAGCAGCTGGCGGATGCTGCTCGCCCCCTGCGGCCAGCCCTCCCGCCGCGCTGCCCCGGGACTCCCGCTTCCCGCTCGAGGGCAGGGGCACGAGGTCCCGGGGATAAACCCCTCTCGCTCGGCGGCGTCCTTCAGGTGGAATGGAGAGAAAGCCAGATGCGAAGGCTTGCTCTCTCCCTCCCTTGCTCCGGCCCGGAGCGCCGCGCCGCGCCTCGCCTCACCACCTCCGTGTGCGCCCTTCACCTTGTGCCCTTCACCCCACCCCCGCTCCCCCCGCACCACGCCCGGGGAGGCTTCTACCTCCTGTTTGGGGGGCGCTGCGGCTGGCCCCGAGGCGGGCCCCGCACCCCCCAAAGTTTGCGTCCCCCGCCCGGGCACCGCGCTGCCTCCCCGCTCCCGTGCCTTAGCAGCCCGCGGTCGCGCTCGGCTCCGCGAGGACCGCCGCTCGCGGCTTGGAAATGGAGCCGGGCCCTGGCTTTAT